AGGTTGTTACTACCACCAGGGAAAGAACTAAAACATGCAGGATGCCGGCCCTCGAGGACCCACTTTGGGCACCATCGGTCTACATCTTTAAGTAGCTGCCAATTAAATGTATTATTAAACTGTTCTTACCACCAGCATGTGTGAACACCTCTGTAAAGGGTAGGCTAACAAAGATAACAAATTTTGTTGGCTGAAATATTGTTCCAGAAATTATTGCGATAAATGATAATATTGTCATTTTGAGACCATTTTCAACTAACACAATAATAATGGTAATAAAGGCATACTAAAGCAGTCTCTCAAACATCAAGAAACTTTAATTTCTAAAGAACATGTAATATTGTAACTGGAAAAAAACATTTTAAATATCAAAATACCCTGGCCAAATTAGCAGGTGGCTAATGCCATCTACAATCATGTGGTTTTCAGGTTTTCTTATATCTATGTTTACAATTTTAGTTTGTTCTTTTTATGCGAGCAGCTGCAGATGCGTGTTGACCCACATGTCAGTAGCACCCCCATTTACTCTTTTCTTTCTCCTCAGCTCGATGGCCATTGGAGTGCGAGGAGGAGTCTTCACCCTGACAATGGCGAGATTAAACGTTCGGCTGAGGAGCCGCCTCTTCAGGACCCTGATGACGCAGGAAATTGCCTTTTTTGATGAAAACCACACCGGTAATGAAGAAGCACATCAAGGGGCCAAGATTGTCAAGTGTTATGTGTTTCCCAAAGCTGATGACACCAGTTTTACTTTCATTTAAATTCATGAAATTCATTTTCAGATAATTTTTTAAGAGTGTTTGAAGAGCATTTATGCTGTCTTGCTTAATTGGTAGATGCATTTTAATATCATCAGCAAAACAATTGAAGAGAATGCTTTGTTTTGGAAAATTAGAACCCAAAGGTAATATGTACAGATAAAATTGTACCTTTGATAGCGGCCACTGGAAAATAAAATACTATAGTCCATGTATGAAAGGCTGCTGAAAGCTCTAGTCTAAAACCACAAAAACAGCAGAACTTCCTGAATCACACTTCTCTGTCGGTCCTGATTTCTCCCTTGGTGTATTTATTTTTTTCTCTGATGTTATGACCTGTCCCTGTTGGCCCACAGGGGACATCCTTTCACGGCTGTCAGCAGACACCACCCAGGTGAGCGACCTCATCTCCCAGAACGTCAACGTGTTTTTGCGGAGCGTCATCAAGGGCACCGGCTTCATCATCTTTATGTTTCGGATGTCCTGGAAGCTCACACTGGTCACCATGATGGGATTCCCTTTCATCGCTCTCGTCTCCAAGCTTTACGGCGAATACTACAAGGTAGAGCAGTTCAGCCTCTTTGCTTCGCAACATACCTGATGTCTAGCGTGGTACAGCAGCCATAGTGTAGCTAAAAACTGAAATCGGTTCCTTCCAGAAACTGACCAAAGAGGTGCAGACGGTCCTTGCAGAAGCTAACAAGGTCGCCGAAGAGACCATCTCAGGCATGAGGACAGTGAGGAGCTTCGCCAATGAGAGCAGAGAGGCCAACTCCTACTACGCCAAACTCTTGGTCATGTTCCAGCTCAACAAAAAGCAAGCCCTGGCCTACGCCTGCTACATGTGGTCCAGTTGTGTATGTTCTGCTGCTGCAGCTTTATGCACATTGTTGAGGTTTAAGGCGTGAGCACCACTGAGCTTGGTCTCTGTTTTCCAGATATCAGAGCTTGCTCTTGAGGTGGCTGTCCTTTACTACGGAGGCCATCTTGTACTCACCGACCAGTTGAGCAGCGGCGGCTTGATTTCCTTTTTTATTTACATGCTGGAGCTGGGAGAATGTTTTGAGGTACTTCCTTAGTTATTTCATCAGTTCTCTAGGACAGCAACAAACGATTATTTTGATATTCTGTTATTCTATTGTATTCTGGGCACATTTTGCAGATTTTTCATTTAACATTGCCTTTTTATACAATGTTAGAAATGCACTAAAATATACTAATAAACAATTCAGTTCGATAAGGTGCTTAATAGGGGTTTATTTTTTTAGAGAATTTGAACCAGGTGAAGCCAAATCACTTGTGTAGCTTTCGATAAAATGTATTTACAGACCAAAGTTTTTTTTTTTTCTTTAATCTTTATCTTAAATGAAAAATGTATTTATTTTTGGCTTAATTACTTCCCTGAGGTTGTTGTTCTCAAGCAAAATGGCATTTTTATCTTCAGGATTATTTACAATTAATTGAATTAATCTTGATTCATTGAATTAATCACAGTTAATTGGATGAATCCCAAATCATCCAAATAATCATGATTAAACAGATTAATCACAACTAATCACAATTAATCATTAGCCGTGATTAATCAAATTAATCACAATTTATTTGATTAGTCACTATTAACCTGATTAATCGTTTCAGCCCTAAACAGTCAATCATGTTTGGAGTCGTAACAGAAAACCTGCCCTGCCTGCCTTTCAGAGCATTGCGTCGGTCTACAGTGGCCTCATGCAGGGGGTTGGAGCAGCTGAGAAGGTGTTTGAGTATCTGGACAGGAAACCCAAACATCCAGCGGATGGCACCGAGGCTCCAAACTCCTGCACTGGTCTGGTTGAGTTTAAAGACGTCACCTTCGCTTATCCAACACGGCCAGAAACTGACGTCCTTAAGGTTTGTCCTAGGAATCCTTTCAATTTTATGGATTAATCAGATTTTTGGTTAGAATAGTCAAAATCTTACAAGAATACGTCATAATATTACGAGAACAAAGTCATACGACAATATAGTCTAAATAAGACCAAAAGCCTGTTACCAGAATAAAGTTGGAATATTTGTAGAATGGAGCTGTAATTTTAAAAGGGATACAAGACAAAAACTAACAAAAAATTTAAATGACAAATACTGAACATCTTGTGAAGTTATATTTTGGCATTGTTTTGACAGATATATTCAGATTCTGCATCAAATATTTATCAGTTGCAGGACTGAAACTACTGAGTCTTCTTAGAAGAAAGAACCATGGACTGGGCGCTAACTATGTCGATGCATTTTTTTTTCTCAATGAAACAGATTTTTCTGGACGTTATTCTGGTACTAATGTTTTTATTCTGCTAATATTATGACTGTATTCTCTTAATTAAACACACATTCTCATAGCTTAGCCCTAAAGCTCCTTCATAAAAATCCCCAGAAGTGATGATTGAAATAAACTTTTTTGCTTTTTGCAACTATTTTCTGTCATTCATAATTTCTATTTTTGAAAAGAAAGTGAGAAATTTATTTTACTAAAATTGGAAATAATATCCACTATGAAGAAAAATTTGAGATTTTTTTATTGTCTAGCCCTACCATCTGTAACTTTACCTTCAATATCCACAATTATGAGCTACTCTGTGCCAGTAAACTACAGTGAAGTTTGTTTTTGCAATGTTACAATATGTAAAAAAAAAGTTTGAAGGAGTTTTACAATACACGTGAACTCAATTCACTTCAATTTTCAGTCCATACATTTAGCTAAGCTGTGTTGTGTGTTTAGCTAAACTGTAGCCATATAGTAAATTATCCAATAAGTCTGACTTGTTTATTATTTTAAGATATTTCTGGGATACGTTTCTTTTTGCAGGGAGTGTCGTTCACTCTGCGGCCCGGAGAGGTGACTGCCTTGGTGGGGCCTTCAGGCAGTGGAAAGAGCTCCTGTGTTAGTCTGCTGGAAAATTTCTACCTCCCTCAGGGAGGCCAAGTGCTGCTGGACGGGAAGCCTGTTAATGAGTTTCAGCATGACTATCTGCACTCCAAGGTGAGCATTTGCAAAAAAAGGTGAAACTAACAGAAGTTGTGAAGTTGCTAGCAACACACTAAGAACATAGCAGCACATCTTTGGGTTGTTCAGTTTCAGACGAGTAAAGGTTTCAAACAGACTCCTATTAACTTACAAACCCAAAGTAGAGATTTTTGGCCGTAGTGGAAAACATCACATTTACTAACTGTCCAACACGAAGGTGGAGGAGTGATGATTTGGTTAGCAGCCACAGGTCCTGGATGGGCACCTTGCAGTCATTAGGTGTACTTCTATCTACTGGTTTGGAGCAAATAAACCAGGCAACGCAAAGCAAAACTTTGTCAGATGTTGATGCTGATGTGAAGGTTGCAAACTAGCATGGACCTCATATCTCATAAAAATGTAGAGTCCTCCACTCTTTGGAGGTTTGGACTTAAACGGTTTCCGAGCCTTCCATCGCCACCAGTGGATGGGAGAGATCCACCATTCCCATCCCAGCTTGGAGTGCCTCTTGTTAGCCACTCTAGGTTGCAGCTCTCCCATTTCACCTGGAGGTTTGGACTTTTAGATTTTCAGTTTTGTGCCTCTAGTAAGGCACAGAGCCACCAGTGGATGAGTTCACTATGCCAGAACTTATTGGCAAATGTGTTTCCATCTCCTCTTTAACGCATGAACTCTTTCAGAAAAGCCAAAAACTGTGAGCGTAAACTTTTTGAAAAATGAAGTGCGACATTTTGAATTTTGCCGTTTCTATCAACCTTTTGTAATGCGATACAAAAGGCTATTGAACCATTGGCTTATTTCAGAGTCAAATGTGAGGCCATCTGTTTGACTACTGCAGCTTGGCTCAAACTCAATAATGCAACATAAAACCGATCCCTAACATGGAATATCAGAAACAGGAAATTAAAAGATATGCTGTACTCACTGAATGTTATTTGTCTGTCTTAAGTAAATGATGAAACAGTCGAATATGCTGACAGTTATTGTTCATCTCCTTTTACAATTTGAATATTTACATTTTTGAATTTTGAACTTAATTATTTGGAGCTGACATGCTTTGTGTTATAAAAGTAGCAATAAATTAGTTTCCAGGTTTGGAATAAGTCTTTATTAAGGACTAAATACACATTTTATTCTCCTCTATGTGAAGCACTTTGGGAAAAACTCTGTGCTGGCCACATGGATTGGCAGCTCTGGTACACATAGCAAATAATTGTACATTTCCAGGTTAACTAAGTTTTAGAGCACATAATTATATCACTGTTCAATTTTTCTGTTTATTATTTTTGTGTCTGCAGATTGCTCTGGTGGGCCAAGAGCCTGTGCTGTTTGCCCGGACCATTAAGGAGAACATCTCCTATGGACTGAGTGATGTCTCTATGGAGATGGTGGTGCAGGCCGCCACCAAGGCTAATGCTCATGACTTCATCACCACCCTCCCCAAAGGCTACGATACAAGTAATTACCAAATCTGTTAATTTTTTTTCTAAATAAATCGCCCCTTTTTAATTGAAATTGTGAAGGTGAATCAAGGAAGTCAACAAAAAAAATAAAAGAAACATGTTGGAAATCTACTGGAGCACAAGTGGGACTTGAATGATACCTTTCATTATTGCAAGATAAGACCTTTGATCTATGCTGTTCAAAGAGGCTTTTTTTTTATTTTATTTCAGTAATTTTTAACCTTTCCATACACAAGTAAAAGACAAAACTAACACATAAATAAACAATCTTAGAATTCCTTTCAATAAGAACACAAGGTGTAGACTGATTTATTCTTTTTGCTTTTTAATAGATATGTCAATGTCAAAATCAAAACAACAGACTTTCCTGTATCATTTCCTAAAACTATGCAGAAAATTAACTTTGTGTTTTTTTTTCTAAGGTGTTGGGGAGAAAGGCTTGCAGTTGTCTGGGGGACAAAAACAAAGGGTGGCTATAGCCAGAGCTCTCATCCGCCAGCCACGCGTCCTCATCCTGGACGAAGCCACAAGTGCTCTGGACGCAGAAAGTGAACATATTGTAGGTGAAGTGCTGTTAAATGCAAGGCATCGTCATTATAAATACCGTATTTATGGAAGCGTGTGTGTGAATAATTTGAACTGCAGGTTCAGCAGGCTTTGAACAGCATCATGCAGGAGCACACAGTGCTGGTGATCGCCCACCGGCTCAGCACGGTGGAAAAGGCCGACAACATCATCGTGATCGACAGGGGCCAAGTGGCCGAGCGGGGGACCCACAGTCAGCTGATGGCCACCGGCGGCCTCTACTGCAAGCTGGTGCAGAGGCAGGTCCTGGGCATCGAGACCGGGGCGGAGGTCCTCAATCCGTCGGAGACTGTCCGGTGGAAGTCTGACAGAGGGCGGAGGAGACGAAACAGCAGCAGCAGCGGGAGCGAGTCAGAGCACAATAAGTGCTACTGAGATCGAGCAGCAGAGTGCAAAATGTTGTCAACATGACAGGTGAATGATAATCAAGCTGGTCTGGTCTGGGCTACTGTGACAGGAAACAAAACCCTAAAAGTCAAAGCACTCCACTGATATCCAAAGAGATTGTCACTTTAAAGGTTCTGTTAAAAATTCCATGTCTTCTTACTTAACGGCTTTGTTAAAGTAGTACAGGGGCTCTCAACAGCGTACAGTGTAAAATAAAATAAAAATAAAAGCAAGATAAATAATTTCACAACTTTTCTGTATAAATTGACAGATATTTTGCACTAGGGCTGTCTTGATGCAACTTTTTCACTTCCGATACGATACCGATATTGCAGCTTTGAGTATGGACTGATACCGATATTCACTCTATATAACAGCACAAATTATGACTACTTTTATTACTTGACAGTAATAAAAGCATTTCTATCCAGGCACTACTGGATAGAATGCTGGGCGGGACTAAATGCTGGAGTGGAGTGCTTCTGTTGGCGTGTTTGAACTGGAGATTTTAGATGTGGGCCGGCCAATACAATCTGATGCTCAGTTTTTAGCGTATATCAGACCAATTTTTGATATTAATATCGTATCGGGACAACCCTTATTTTGCACAACTCAAACACAAACTTGGAAGAAAAAAATATATAAAAATGTAAAATGTGCAATAGCCCAGTTGTATCCTCAAGAGCTGGTGTGCTGCATGTTTTAGATTATTCTCTGGATCAGAGTATCGGAATAAAACTAAATTGTTTATTACGAGAACATATAGAATATGATCAGAAGGTAATTCAGCCAATAATTCAACTGTATTGGACCTGTACATTTTGAGAGCATCTGTTCATACAATGTTTTAATGCATCACAAGTCTTGAATGAATGTTCACTAAATGCTTTATCAGCTTAAAAAAAGGGATGTGCTGCTGTCAATGCACTTTTTTTTAGCAATACCTCATCGATATGCCACTGTCACTGTTTTTTACTTTGAAGCTGTCTAGCTGTTTTTTAACTTCTGTTTATTTACTGAAAATGGTAAAAAGGTGTGATCGTTAAGTATGTATAAAAAATGTGTGATCTCCCCCTTGTTTTTGAAGAAAGTTTTAGTTGTAAAGCACAGATATAGAGCCATACTCATTTACAGCAAATATTGTAATGGCAACTACTTTAGTGCTTCCAGTTCTGTAAAGATGTGGTATAAATGCTATGTTAAGTGCACGTGTGTGTATTCTAAAGTATACAACTACAATGGTTTTTAAACAGAAATTTTAATTTATGGTGGATTATCTCTAATCCACACGGGATAAAATAAATAAATTCAGATGACAAAAATCAGTTCAAACATGTAAATGGAAGTTATTGGGATGTGTCACCAAAAACAAACTATAATCTCCAGATTCATTGACATTGACTAAGGTGTTCAGGATCAACTTGGGGAAATACTCATGTTTGCCATGAATTGGAAGAAGCTGCACAGGGGTGCAACTTTGTACTTTCTGAGGTGTATGCAGACCACTGTCTGCATACACCGGCCACTGTTACAAATCAGAATATTTACACATGCATAAACAGCTAAATGCTTACTAGAAATAATCTTATACCATTGCTTCAGGCGCCCCCTCTAGCCCAGCGCCCCTGTGCCTTGCATACTTTTTTTTTTTTTTTTTTTTGCGCCACTGTAGTTGGAATACCTGTGTGTCATAGTACGCGACTAACTTAATTTTACATTTCTGTGGTCTAGAAAGAAAAGCCCTGTTCCAAAGTGGACACTTTCAAACTCGTGTTAACCTTTCCTGCTTCGACCGACTGACTTTAGCCGAGGTCTTCCTCCGGGGCCGAAGTTGTTATCCTCGGGGGAAAACTTCTGTACCTTTCAATTTGTTTGGTAGCTGCTAGCAAGTGAGGCACGCCACAGAAGTCAGTGGGAGCACAATTCGGGCTTCAATTTTTTTGCAATGTACACTGTAGCTCACAATACTGTTCCTGGTCGCTCTCCGGCTAATTTCTTAAACAACGCTTCCGCCCTGCGGTCTCAGGTCAGACGGTGCGTAGAGGCCACACTCGCGCACCGTACGCGTACATCAGATACTCACTACACTGAGTTTGCCATCACACGAGTTAAGACTTGACTAAAATTCCCTGCTGTCCACGGAGACATGCCACATAGCTTCTTGAAAAAAATGTTAAAATCCAGAAATTTGGTCGCAATTACAAGAACATTGTTTGGATGGTGGGGTTGGAAACGACAATATTATGCTGGGGCATTGCTTTACTGCTTGTGGTAATGGTTGGAATATTAGCCAAGAAATGCAAATCTATTAACTTAATCTCAAATCAACATTAGAAACACGCGGGTGCTCTGATAGGTCCATCAGACTTTAAAAACATTATCGGTCTAATAAAAGCCGATTGGCTTGAAGTGGAGTGGTCAAACATCCAGCTAAAAATAATGGCAGACTTGTGAATTTCTTCTAAAAAATACTCTGGAGTTAAGTTGTGCTGTTTGTCTAATTTTTATTTTGATTAGTGTGTAATGTGTGCTTAAAGTTACCGAATTCTTGGGTTTTCAAAATGATTGAAGACGTATGTTGCATAAGTACAAAATCAGAATGCCTTTCATTCATTCTTCACTGCTCGGGAAATTTCAAGCTTTGCTCTCAGTCCGGTTCCTCTTTTTTCTGAGCGCACTTGAAGGCATCACGGGGCCTGTACACACTACTTCCTGTTAAGGAAGCGCAGTCAGCTGTCACAATCTGAGAGGCGAGAAGAGGGAGCACAGGCGAGAAGAAACACAAAAGCCAAAATGTCCAGCTTTTCCACCAAGTTCGGCGGCTACACGATGACTCAGCTTAATGAATTTCTAGAGGACGACGAAAAACTCTTAAAAATGGTTCAGGAGATGGATGAGGTTAGTTAAAACCACTCGTTGTTGCAGTCCGAAATGTTAGCTCTTCATTCTTTTTTTCTCTCGGTCACTGTTTTTTTTCCTCCTCCTTCCTGTCGAGCCTTTGTTGTGCTTTTCCCAACATACGCTCGGTGCAGTGACGGAAATAGCTTGAAATTACAGTTTGAGTCCAAGTATAAATATGTAACGAGTGTAAAAAGGTCTACTGAGTTAAGAAAAAAAATAAGGGTAGTGAAATTGTTACCCTTGATGCTGACTAAGAGAAGCATTGTTTAAGTTTTAACAGTGATAATTCACAGTTTGCCTCATTGTTTTCCTGAAACAACCCTCCTCTCACTGAGCCAAGAAGCTATGTAATGTTTATGAGAAATGATTTTTCTCTTAGTAATGGTCACGCCAGTTCGTGTTTATCAAGGTAACTGGTAAAAAGATAGCATGGCTTCGAAGTAGTGTCGGCTACATGATTACGTGATTAACTTCGGTCACAAATGAGCCAATCAAAGGCTGCTTGTGTGTGTGCAGGTACACCGATACTGTGGGAAAACACGACTAAGCAGCCTTTAATCGGTAACGGCGGCGTGCTCAGAACTATAGTACGGCCTGACAACACAACTGACTCTTTTCACTTCAAAGTGTCGTTTAAAGAAAAATGAAACTCAAAATGTACTTCTGCAGTTCGATAAGCAGGCAACGGAGCATGGTCGACTCCCCTAAGGGTTTATTGTTCACACAAAAACAAAGGGCCAAAATCCACTAAACGGATACAAACAAGCGATAATTTGAATGTAACTGGATAAATATGTAATTGTTTAAAAATGTGGAATGCATAATTCAGTCTGGAATGTATCAGGAAATGAATATCAACAATGAATTTTTATTTCTATGTTTAAGATGTTTTACATATTATGTATAGCCCATGTGCTGTGGTTCACCATACTTATCTTACTTTTTAGTAGTGAGATAAGTATAGATATTTTTTTTAAATAATGCAAAATCTAAATATTTAAATCAATACAACAATATAAAACAAGATACTTGGAATATATTGTATATACCTAATGAGTAAAGTTAAGATTACAGAGCCTGAAGTTAACTCATATAGGCTCTGTTAGCCTGAAGTTAGGAGTGCTGATCAACCAATCAATCAACTGAATTGGTTTTAAGCCAATCCGCTTAAAACCTTATGAGATTCTTACAGTGTGATAACTGAGAATATCAATATTTATGAAAAATTTTAAAGTGAAAAGTAGCTAACATTGCCTAACTGCTTTTAAAATTTTAAAAGCTAAGGTTTGTGATAAACTGTCAAAAAACTTTATAAAGAACTTTAGACCAAATGAGCAGAAAAAGTGTTAAAACCATAAATCTCAACAAGAGTATGTTTCCCAAATTTAAATGGAGCATTGCACAGAAATGGAACAAAGTTTGAAATATTTAAAAATGTTGTATAATAACTGCAGATTTTAAGTGTTAATTTCAACCTGTATTTATTTAATGAAGCATTTCTGATATTGGCATGGCTTAATATTGTACATATCTGTATACTTTCCTTGTAATTGTTTCTAATTGTCTCTAAATGAGCCTGCACCTGCATTTATTTAGTGACATTCACCTCCAGATTATGGCTCTTTATACACACAGCTATTGGGTTCATATCTGAACTCTGAAATCAGATGCTCTCATTTATTATCTACCTAGCTTAGAATCAACAGCCTTGATTTGTTTTTTCCATCCACAAAGCCATTACCAGCTGGAGCCACCGGGAAGGTTTACCCTGAGGCAGATATTAACTGCAATAAAAGGAGGAGTTTATTTATTTTTAGTTTAATTTTGTCATATTTGTGCATCTGAGTGTTCTGTCTGGTTTCTTAAATGGTTTGATTCTGTCTTGGGCTTTACCATCAGCCTGAAGGGAGGCTGCTGGTGTTTCACAAAACTGTCCAACAATGCCTCTAATTCTTGTTGTTGGGTTTACTAGTGAAGCCTAAACATGTCTGCCCCCCCTCCCCTCAATCTCTCCCCCACTCACTTCCCCCTTAAACTTCACCAAACGCATATCGTCAGGGCACAGGAATTTGACTCGTCTGTTGTCATGGCGCTCGGGGTTTCTCCCTGGCACTGTTAATTTGATCTTACTTTGTAGGGAGGTGGTGCGGGGGGTGGGGGGGGGTGACTTGCTGTCAGAAAACATGCTAATGGCTTCCGCTCCTTTAGCTGCTTGTAGATCCAATGGAGCTTATAAGATCACAGCATGGTGCATCTTCTTTTAGAAACACCAGTGAACATGTTTTTTTTTTTTTTTTCCCCTGTCGCTTCTGCTGCTTAACATCCACACCCAACATGTTTGTCTCCATAGTTTCGTTTTCCTCATCCCACAGGTTGCAGGTGAGGTGAGGGCGGGGAGGTAGGAGGAGGGGGGAACTGTTCTGTGCAGTGACGCATCACCTGTTGACTCAGGTTAGTTTATGCGATCATGGAAGAGGATTTGCGAGGTGCCTGAGTCAAAGGTGGAGCTGTCCGGGAACAGGATGGAATCTTACTGGTATTCCGGATCGGAACAAAGACACGCCGGGTGTCAAAAGGCAACGACAGAAACCTGAGATTGGTGGGAAGTAGAGTTCATAAACTGAACTCAAACATCCTCGGACTCCAGCATTTGCTCCCCTTTGAATAATGCAAATTGACATCTTGTGAATTTGTTTAGCTTCAGTGTAGCTTTATTTTCTTATGTTCTTGCGCAACTCTGCTTTGCTTTTACTGCATAAGTTGCAGGTACAGTGTGCCACTTCTTCTGGAGGTGAACTTTGACTGGCTGACGCATATTAAGCTGTAAAACCTGGTAACGTAAGCCTCATTTATCTGCTCTAGTTCAAGTTAAAGTGCGTGTATTATCTTTACAACATCACCCAGGCTGTCCTTAAACACCACAGTCTTACAATATATTCCCCAAATATTAACATAATACTCTTTTTCTATCATTTAATCGCTTCTATTTATTTAAATTATAAAATGAACTGCTGATATAACTCAGGTGATTGTTTACAACAGATTTCCATTCCATTGTTTAGCTCTGAGACATTGCAGATGGTCAGCTGCACTTTTCATAAAGTTAGGGGCAACTAGTTTGTTTCCGAGACAATTTGATTTGTTTGGGCTTCACACTTTATAACTTTGGTTTCTCAGTTCAGTTTGTACAGAAGCATTTTTATTTGGCAGTGTATGTGGTCGTACAGAAGGCAGGAAGACAGAAACCAAATGTGGGTGTCGTTTGGAAATAAGGATCCTGAAAACTAAATATTATTCCAGAATGCTCTAGGAACGACTGCGTCGGTCGTTTTTTGAAAATGGATAACGCATTGTGTTTCAGATTGACTAATCTGAAACACAATAAATGATACTAGAGCTAAGCTGTGTAATGCTAACCAATCAATAGGCAGAAGCTGAATCCCTAAGACTTCAGCTTCTGCCGGAGCATGTCGCGTCAGCGCTCCAATCAGAATATCCGATGGGATTCAGTTCTTTCGGAATGAACTTGTTATCCGAACAGCCAGCATGTACACACTTGTTGTGTTCATGTCATTCAGAAAGTGGTAAATTGACATGACTGTGCTCGATGCTAATGTATGAAGCCTGGTGCGTGTAAACACACGATAATCTGATGAATTTGTTTTGTTCCTAAGTAATTTTTTTCTTTTTTAGTATGATCAAGGAATGCCATGAATGTAAACTTTACTGTTGTGGTGGTTTTGCTTTTGCGGCGCTGATGGTTTGGAAACATTCCCGCCCTCTTATCTGCCATATTGTTGCCAAAGTGCCACCCTGTTACACTGAACATCAGTAACGGACTCTTACCCAACCACTCACAAGTGGAGCTCTGTGGTCGATACAGGAAAGTGCTCAGAATAGCTTTACTTTATAGACGGTAAGAAACCTTACAGAACATTTCCCCCTGCAAACAATCACAGACAGAGCAACCTCAGTGCTCCAGATGGCTTAAAGATTTGGGTTTTCTTTTTTGTTTTGCTTTTTTTAATTGCCACTCATTGTACAGCAAGAAAGCAAAGGAGTTGCCTCAGGATGTGCTGGGGCAAAGTTAGAAAATCATTTTGAGCTGCTTTTCCTGCATGACGTTCTCGGAAGGCTTCACAAGGGCCGAGGTGTCGCTTTATATAACAGATTTCCTACTCAGTCCCGGTTATATTTGTTCATCTGACGTGCTGAGTGGATGTGTGAAATGAGTCATTTGATAAGAAGTGTGACAGTTTTTTTTTTTGTTTTTTTTTTTAAATTTGTCAAATTTGTCTTGATAGTTTCAGTTTAAATTCACATTAAACCAATGTGCTCCATTCGTCACCACATTATGACGGAATGGGGATCGCAAAAGAAATAAAGAATTCAACTGTACATTACATGCATTGTAATAAATATTACAGATGCAGCATTAAATGATTAGATATACTGCAAAAGATTTTAGTCTCCCAACTAGAAGCAAAGTAAAAAAAAACAAACCCACAAAACTGACTCTACGGCGGTAAATCAAGTATAGATCAATGGAAGTGTAAACCTGACTCAAAAGAGCAAACTGTACTTTGAATTTTTTTTGTGCATGTTACGCAATCATCATTTTTGGATACCAATGGCTATTTATTAAGACAGTGATTTGTTAAAGATGTGCTCTTAATTTGACAAGAAATGCTTTCTGTTCCTAATCAATTATTGCATGATAAATTAAAATTGGCTTGATAATCTGTATTCTGATTATCAATACTTTTTGAAAGGCAATTTTGTTTTCAAACCCTTTCTAATCAGTTTTATTTATGGTTTTGGATGTGCGTGTATGATCGTTCAATGCCTTTTTGTTTGGGTGCGTTTTTATTTTGGATTGTGTTCTGTACAAAATTAAAGTTTATTGGTCTTTGAGAAGGCAAACTTATTATGCCATTATCTTCATATTTGTTGAAAATGATCTCAGTGACAATATCATCATTTATCGCAATCATTCCTGGGACAATTTATTGTCCAGCAAAATTTTTTATTGTGACATACCTACTTGTTCTCCTTTGGTAGGAAAATAAAAAAGAAACGTTCAGGTTGCTTTGTTCCTTCTCGTTTTGGGGGTTTCAGCAGATGCGAGGCCAGTATTAGTTGATGCCAAACAGTATCATTCACCTGTGTATCCAGGTAATCCTCTGACGTGTTTGGTGTCTATTGCAGGTCCAGGAGGTCCAGCAGAACAAGGAGAAGACCCTAGCCAATAACCGAACCCTGGCCGAACAAAACCTGACCCTGCAGCCCCAACTGGAGCACAAGAAGGAGCAGCTCACCAAGACCTACAGCTGCCTTCAGGAGAACTTTGAGTCCTATCAGCTCCGCAAGTCCAAGCTAGGTATTGTAGCTGCATGCGCAGAAAATACTGGGAACCATTCTTTATTGATTGGTTTTATACCAGGACTTGAATTTTTAATGCTACTCGCTTCTTTAGACATTTGAACACACTCACAAATGAAGTCATAGGAAACGGATACTTTAACGATGCATTAAAGCAGCATGGCTTTAGCTTTTATTCCCATCTCACTTGTCCATTTAGTGTCATGGGCTGGGTTTAGAAACACAGTGGAGTCTGTTCTAGTCCTCAGTGTTTATCGGGGCTATTAGATCAGTGTTCATTTGAAAGAAAAAAACCTTATCCTACCTTACAGCAGAACCTTCAACTGCAGTTTAGATAGATTTACACTTGGTTTTCTAAGTGCTTAACCAGTTATTTTAAGTAAAGTTTGATGTTTATTTGTTTAAATGTGGATTATAATCTATGGTATCAGGAGCTAAATCAACCAGTGTCTGCCAGCTGGATTTTCTAATCATAAAACTCAAAGCTTGTGCTGTGGTGAAAAGTTTTCTGCTTGTTAATCTACTACTTGACCCACTTCCACCACCTTTAAAAACTGTTAATAAAAACAGCCAGAGTGTTTATCTTGAAACGTACCAACCTTTTCCTTCAGCCATTAAAATTAAAAAGTAGATGTTTTATAAAGGTGTGAAAGTGTTATCTGATGACGTTTGAAGAACGGTTTAGCTGTGGCTGCTTTTAGAAACACACTGGTCAAAATGTTGTCTGATAGATTTTATAGCTGCAACATATTTTCTGTTTAAGAACTACAATATTATAAGAGGTTATAAAACAACATTTAAATGTTTTTCCTTTATCTGGCCTTCCTGATCAGAGTGGTCCTTCTTTATGTTTGGAGCAGGAACGATGAGGAGTCGCTGTGAAACCGAGTTTTACTGATATTTTTAAAAAGGAACTATAGCAACTATAACTAACTATAGCGGCCTATGCTATTAGTCAATGGAGCTACCATTACTAAACATCAACATGTAATTATGTATAATTAAAGTACTAAAGAGTAAGTTGATTTAACTGTTAAAATATTTAACTGTTGGCTTATACTTCTATTTCTAAAAGTTATGGTGTGTCGGATTTGGCTCGCAGGCTTCGCGTTTGTATTCTAGAGAGTGTTTATCCTTACCTTATCTCTGATATTTATAAAAACTGGCTAACATTTCAAACTCCAGCATGTTCTATTCAGAGAAATATTGCGAACTTAAAAAGATCAAATAAAACAACGCTGCTGTACACTGTTTAGTTTTCATGTTATATTATTTTCTAATGCCTCGTGCTCTATCCCAGCCCCAATGAATCACAGACATGTCCCAACTTGTTGTTTAAGAAACAGTTTCATCTTAAATGGGCTTCCTCTATATTCCGTCTTACACTCCTTAGTGACACTGGAAATGGCTAGCATTAGCTGTGTTTCCATTACAAATATGCGCAAAACATCGCCAGTATTCCGCTAATGTCAAACACTCCCACAGTTTTGCAATTGCGGTGTTTCCATTAAATAAGAAACTAAATTAAGAATTGTATGTGAAATAGTTTGTTCATGCGATAAGTCATTAAAAAAAACACTACACTATCATCCTCCTACCATTTCCTGTTATCTTGCTTGTCATTTACATCAGTAGAAACATCCAGTTGTTGATCATGTTACTCGTGTGTTGTGAAAAAAGTGTTTACATTGCAGTTTTGTGAAATACACTGATTTTGATGCAGCTGAAAAACCACCTCATCCTTCCGCAAAAACATTTAATTAAAAAATATTAGACTTTTTTTTCCAAAATTAGTGCGTTTCCATTAAGCAAATAAATTTTCACACCTCTAATTTGAGCAGTCTTAAGGATAATAAAAACACAGCCATAGATTCTTCCTACAATAACTACTTCCACACTAGAGTACTGTTTTCAGGCAATGTTATGTTTTCTTACAGTCCATTAATCAAACAGGAAACAGGCTGATGAAGCTAAAAACCCATATTTCTGGTAAAAAGGAACTTTTTTTTACTCATTTCCACTGGTTTCACTTATATTAATATATATTTATTAGGAGACACTGACATCAGAATTAGATTCAATTTCAGGTATAATTAATTTACACACATAAAGACCTCTAAGCCAGCGGAGTGAATGGCAAACTTCTGTCCTGTCTGTTGGCTTCCCTCATTTAGTTAGTACCTTAAAACTGCAGTGAAATGTCAGTGAAGTAGGAATGCAGCTAAAACTATTACAACTTTTATAAATCAGTTAAAAAAAACTGATGATGAAACTTTCAGGTTTTTCTTGTTAGGGCAACATATGATTAAAGAATTGGCTGGTTAAAATCTGTATTCTTTCCCTATGTTCTCTAATTACTCATTAAAAGACAATGCTTGTGTTCACCAGTTCAGTAAGACGTGTTGGCATGACATCATCTTCAGCTATTCTTTAAAAAGGAACTTTTCCAAAATGGTAGGTGAACTCAGAAACACTTCAGTTCTTTTTTTTTAACCTCTTTGTATTTATTTTGTTGACATTACGCATAAGTCATAACCTGTTTAACCAGTTCCCTCATTTCCTATAAAAGCCTCCTGCAGCCACTTAACTCAAAGTGAGTTCTTGTTGATCGTATTCAGAGATCCACAATGGCACCAAAACAAGCTCAAGCAACTCAGTCAAGTTTTTTATCTCGTCTTAGCACTTCCTGGTAGTTGAAGAAGATGTGGTGACCTTACTTGTGACCTTGTTTACGGTCTGGTTGCCAAGCAGCTGTCTTTAAATACCATCTCTGTTATTCACTGCTAGTCCGGATTTCATCTCCTTTAAAGCTGCAGTATGTAGCTTTTATAATAAAAAAATATATATATTTTTTCTTATTTGTTGAAACTGTAACTGTCAGTTCAACATAGTGACATATGTTGTCTTCTCCCAGTGCTGCTATTGCCTTCTGAAGAAATACACCGTTCCCAGTTAAAACAACCAATCAGAGCCAGGAGGAGGGTTTTAGCGCTGTCAGTCAACCTTGTGTACGTGCTGGTAAATGTGCTAATGGTGTAGAAGCAACTCACTGTAGCATGAAAACCATTTATCTGTCCATCGGTAGTGATGCTAACTAGCCTTAGCATTCACAACAGGCTCTGTTGACAGGGAGGAACCGCAGAGAGCAAGCAGCACACACATGGACATGATTGGCAGCGCTAAGACCTGCCTCCTGGCTCTGAGTGGTTGTTTCTAGTTAGCAATGGGAGATGGTAGAACTAGATTTTTTTGTTGTTGTTGTTTTGTTTTTATTCGCAGATTCTGTCTCATACCAGACTGTCACAACATGGTGACAGTTTCAGCAAATATGTAAAAAACATCCATATTTTTGATAAAAGTTGCATTCTTCAGCTTTAAGCCATCCCACCTTTTGAAACCTTACTGAAGTCTTTAATATGATTTCTAGTTTGCACGTCTAAATGTGATGGCCATTTTAAGTCTCGAGCATTTCTTTATTATCATATCTCAAAGCTGGTGGTCTGCATTTTTAATAGGCTAATGCAGCACTGTTTCTGTCTGATGACAGCAAGTGATAGCTTTCATAAAATGTAGGTTACTCACTGTCCCTCTGCCCTTCCCCCTCCCTCCCACCCACCGCCTGCTGGGCAATAGCCGTCCTAGTTGTGGATTTGCTGTCGAGCAGATGTGGATAGAGCTGAAGGAAAGAAGCTGTTTGACCCAGAAAAGCATACAGCGTACAGTACAGTAGCCGGTTGTGTTGCTGTTTGCATACAGTCGGGCGTTTGGCCTCGCCTTTTTCTGTCCTGCTGTCAAAGACCTTTCCACCCTTCAGTGTCTTGTAGCATTCCCCTCAGTGTACCATTGTCCTCCCAGGCAGGCTTTGTGGGGGGATGGAGGGACTGCCAGGCTGGAGACTTGAAAGAGTGGAGAAAGGGAGTGGAAGACTTCTTCTGAGTTGAACCAAAACCTCCCTGTTTAATGTGGAGTTGAGCTAGACTTTCTTTCTTTGTTTTTTTTTTTTTTTTTTTTTGTTCAGACAAAAATGTATTCTCTGGACAATAAAATAATGATGGCTGCCTCTTAAAAGCTTCAACCTGTATGAAGAAAGCATGGAGTTCTTGACGGTGACAGTTCATAGGTATGAGTCGAAGTCTGTGTTGCTTCTTGATTCCTTCTTTAAAAAACTGTTTCCTTCCTCATATTTGAAAGCCAACCGGGAAGCAGTTTGTGTTTTCTCGTAACATGGCACACGGCTGGTTGTGCTCCTGCTTTAACGTGAAGTTAATGAGTAACGCTCGGCTTCTCTTCTATTTTCCACCACTGATCTTGTGATCTTGCTAAGTCACTGTGCGAGCCAGTTCTGCAGGCTCATTAACCTGCAGGTGACACATTCAGCTATGCCGCTACTTCATTGTTAGTCTTTTACAGGTGGGACACCATGTTATTTCTATATTTAGAAATAAACGGAGCTCAGTTCAGCCAGATTGAACATGCACGGTCCTCCACTCTGCCAATACAGTTCAGAAAACAGGCTTGCTTTCTGTAGATTGTGTCTGAGGAGGATGCCACCATTTTTTTGTTTGTTTTGGAGCACTTGATCAGTACTTTATGATTTGTACTTTTTTCTTAAATTAATAAATGTGCTAAGATGTAGGGACACCTCTGGGCATGCTTTGTGCATGCAGCTGGCAGCTTATGTAACGCACAAAATTCCTGTTTGAATGGGAAGGGTTTAATTGGTTGGCTAGTTGAACTTTTTATTTCACCTGGAAAAACATTAAGGACAATTTCATATTCGTATTGTTTGCCTGAAAGTGCAAAAACACTTAAAAGGAGAGAGGACTAAAAAATAAGTTTTACAAGAGATGTTTGCATCTCTTGAATGTGACAAAACATTTTAACTAACTTTTTAGAGTTGACATTTTATGCTAGCCAAAAAACTGAAGTTTTTGATGCACATTCTCCAGATCTTTGCCTTATTAATGATTCTTTAAGTCCATTTTCCAAATCCAACATGTCAGAATTAAAAAGGGAAAAAGATAAAGTAACTTTGCAGTACTGCATTGTCTTGCTCCACCCATCAACCTCAAATCTAGACATGTCACAGAAAATACATGGTATTTTTAAATGGCTCTTTACATCTCCGCTTCCATCTATTGTGATGACAATTTTCTTCTTTCCTCTCTTTATTACCTGCACTGTGTGACCTTTAGTATTTTGGGTATCGTTATTTGTGTCCAATGATGGCATCTGTTACTGTGAGGCTCTGCCCAACTGGCTAAACATAACATTTTATTTATGGATTTGGTTGTAAATGGCTTTTATTTCCATTTCCGTTTATTGTTTTGGATATTGTGTTTTATTTTTCATGTTTAAAATGTCTTCCGGTTCTGTGGCGTGTTCCTAACAAAAATTTAAGTTTATTGGTCTTTGAGGGGGCAAACTTGCCACTATTAATATTACTTGAAAATGGTCTCCAAACAACAATATTATCACTTATCGCAGTCATTTTGGGACAGTTGACAGGCCTACTTACAACCACAAACTCCACAGAGTATTTAATTGGATGGATCAACACAAAATGGGTTTATAATTGCAATTTGGATTTGTTTTATTTTTGTCATTGTAACATTACCAGCACCAAGTCTTCTTGGTTGTATCTTGTTTTTTGTTTTCTAGTTGAGAGCAAAAGGAATATATTACACTTTGAAAGTATTTCAGTCTCATCTGAACCAGTGTGTCCTCTTCTGCATTCAAAAGTCTGAGTCAGTTTTATGAAAGTAATGTTCACATCAACATTTGTGGCATAATATATGATGCAGCTCTTATTAAAAATATTCAATGTTATTAACAAAATCAAGCTTAGTCTGGCCCTCGTGCACAAATGGATCAGACTACATGTTTGTGACTCGGTTTGCAGACCTGAACTGCCAGAATAGCATATCAGGTTTGACTAGAGCCTAGTTTGTAATTAAAGATCCACTGTATAAAGGCTCAGTCAAAACTTGTTGGAATGTCTGCAAGTTCACTGCTCTGCTGTGGAGATCACTAATTATTACTGTCTCATTGGGGTGTGTGTGTGTGTGTGTTTATTGAAGCCCCTGCTAGTTTTGACTTACAGTTCTGTTTTCAGAAACTGTGACACCAACAGATATTAATTTCACTTTAAGTCGCAGTGAACAGAAAGGCATCATGCCTGGTTGGTCTCTGGACCATGATTAGTTAACACCAATTCATTTTATAAAGTAAAATCATTCACACGCTTCTTTTTTGTTTTGGAAACATCTTGGTGATGAGGAATTGTACCGTATTTGGTCTACTGTGTGGAATTGCTGTACGGTGTGTGCAAACGCTAAAAAAGAACACTGTGACTTAAATGGAGTGTTTACTAGAGGTGTGGACTTGAGTTATGGGACCTGGAATCGAGTCAGACTCCAGGAACAAATTTAATGACCTGATCACAAAAAAGTGGACTTTATTTGATCTTTCACCCCAGTGACTTGATTAACATGGAGATCATTTGTTTTGAATAGAAACCTGCTTTATAATGTTTTTTTCTCAAGATCCGTTCCTTTGGTGTCATTGTTCTGGCAAACGCATTTTAAAAAAGAATTAATACATCTCCAAATAATTTTGTCATTAAGTGAAGTTTTGTCAATAGACTTATTTCAGACAGCAAACTAAAAGCTTAGGACTTGGACTCGACTCAGGGCTCCCATGCCTCGACTTTTGACTCAACTTTGAACTTTGATGCATTGTGACTTCACTTGAGGCTTGATTGAAAAAAACTGCATACATGACTTGGTTTCACTCCTGCTAAACACACGTTGTCACAATAAAACCCATCACGCATAAAGCTGTGTTATGTAACTTTAATAAACAATTAATTTTTTACACATTTGTTAAAATTATCACTGTGTTCTGACAGTATAACATGAGACAATCTGTGAGAAAATCCAGCTCCTATACCTTCTGCTTACTGCAATCTGCAGAAACCCCCCACTTGGTCAGAAACAACCAATCGGAGACAGAAGGAGAGACTTAGCGCTGTCAATCAACCTTGTGTATATGCAGATGGCAGTAGTACTGTAGGGAGAAGGCAGAGGAGCTTTTTTTCCTACTCGCAGAATAGTATCATAATCATACTGTCAAGACATGGTGACACTTTTAACAAATATGTAAAAAAAAAAGGTTTAAAAGATACTGACTGCAGCTTTAGTTAAACATGTGACTGCTTGTAGTCATTTGCCCTTTTTGCTCCTCCCCATAATCCTAATAATTCTGTTTAACAGACCACAAGTCAGGAGCCACCTCCCTGGACATTCTGCTGGCCCTGCTGCAGGCAGAGGGAGCCAAAATAGAAGAAGAGACAGAGGTAAGCATTCTGCTGCTTCCTCCATGGATGACCTCATCCATCCCGAGTTGGTGATTCATATACATTCCTCATTTCTCTTTTCTCTGCCTTGAACATTTTCATTGTTCAAATCTAAGAGCCTTGATGGGCAGCAGTGAGCCTTGACTAACTCAAGAATCACTCTTTAGTCTGCTGCAGTAACACTTCTGCAGTTCCTGTTCAAAACGCCCCACTGATGTGAAGTTGACCACTTGGAAATGTGAATTGTGCTTTCGTTAACAGTTGAGAAATTCAACCCACTACTCTGCAAAAAACACCAATTGTAGCGAGTAATTTTAGCGTACTTCCTAATAAAAACGGTACACTTGAAATAAGACAAAACTAACTTGCAAGTAACTTTTCAGCAAGATATAAGAACATGTTTTAAGTCAATAATTCCTTTGCATAGATGAAGAAGTACTAGTTCTATCATCAGATAATTTAATATATAGCAAGACATTTCCCATGTTACAAGCAAAATATTCTGCCAGTGGAACTACTACTTTTTAATAAATATTATGGAATTATTGACTTAAAAGTAGCTCCTATTTCATGTTGAAAAATTACTTTTTCTCTCGTTTCAAGTTTACTAAAATATTTGGACGAGCAACAAGATCAAAAACACTTGTTAAGATTTTGTGTTTTTGCAGTGTGCATGTCATCTGCTATGGAGAGTCTTTGCAGAGTGTGGTTGACAATTGGGTTGCTAGTTTCTAAAAGTTTAAACAGTTTGAGGGACATGAAAACAAACAGCCACCTAGTGGCAGAGAACTGTAAGTGTACATTAACTCAGTTGTCATTTCAACAGGATGTAACTGTATTATTACCATTTTTTATTATTGTATTATTACCTGATTTCATACATGGCTCCACCTTTGCCATGTATGAAATCAGCTGTTTTTTAACTTACTGAAACTATCTTGCTTTTATTTGTTTTAAATGATTCAAGGAAATCTATCATTTTGTTGTTGCTGTTAGAGGATTGGTTGTTTTGAAAACCAGGTTTTTTAAGTGTTGTTTGAGGTCATCACTTAGGCACTTAACCCTAAGCCGCCTACCAATTTATCGGTGTGTAAATGCATTTGTGACTGCAAATGGGTGAATGTGTGAAGTGTTTTGGGTGGTTAGAATGACTGGAAAAGCCCTATATAAGTAGAGTTAATTTACCATTTGTGTCTGCAGAACATGGCTGACTCTTTCCTGGACGGTGACATGACCCTGGACGCCTTTGTCGATTCCTACCAGAACAAGAGGAAGCTGGCCCACCTGAGACGAGTGAAGATTGAGAAGCTGCAGGAGATTGTTCAGAAGGGCCAGCACCTCCTCCTCCCACAGGCTGCTGCCGCGCCCTCCTCCCGACCTCAGGACTTGCCTGCCGTGTCCTCCCTTCTCGCCGACAGCAACAGCAGCAACTCCTCTCCGGTTGCCCAGCCCAGAAGGAAACCTCCCGCCCCTCCATCCCAGCCACCTCCTGTTCTAAGCTCAATTCCAACCGCTGCCCCCCAGCCTCCTTTCTTCTGCCCGCCGTCTCAGTACCCACCCATCCCTCCCAGAACAGGGCAGCCCTTCCCCAGCGTCTCTACCGGATATCCCAGCTCCTATATCTCTCAGTACCCTCCTGCTTTGCCTCAGAGGCCCCCGCCTCGCTTGGCCCCGCAGCCTGGGTTCATCATTCAATAAGCTCAAATTAAAAAGAAAAAAAAAAAAACATCCCTTTAGAGGTTCTAGTGTTTATTACAAACATTTAACAACTGGAACTCCTTCAGAGAACAATGTTTCTTATCTCATCCGCCTTCTCGGATTACGCCCCAATCTCAACACCAGAAAGGAAGATGCACATGGGTTGGTCTGGGTGCGTTCATATAAGGCATATCTCCTATAACCTGTGTGGATTACTACTCGCTCCCATCAGCAGCACTCCCATCGAAAGTTAAGAAACGACAACAACAAAAAAGAACTGTTGGGACCATCTCAGGTCTCTCTCAGCAGAGAAAAGGGAGCCGACCAACATCAGCCTTGCAGTCGATAAGCCGAGACTTGATGATCAGCGCTCTGTCTCCAGTGCTCCACCCCCTCCTACAAACATGTTCCGTTTATGGAACACTAAACTTTTTTTTTTTTTTTTTTCCAAGAAAACTGTTTAAAACTCATCTACATCACAACATGCTAATTTACCTGTTTATGCAAGCCAGGAGAGACCCAGATTACTGTGCAGTTTTCATGAAAATATCATTTTCCAGAATATATTCAGGCAAAAACTGCATCTATGCTGTGATTTTTTTTTTCTTTTAAAATATGAAAAAAAAAAAAAATTAAAAGGTACCTAGGAATATTTAAATTTGAGCATCATCTGTAGATGTTAAGACTAATGGAGTTATAATAATAATAGTCAGGATATACTGAATAACATGTAAAGGAGGGATTAGGTCAGGGTTTCTCCAATTTGCAGATGAATCTAGTGAGAGCCCGACCCCCTGCCTGGTCCGTTTCCGGGCAGGTTAGGGCCAAATGGGGATCAGCAGCTGAAAGTGAAGGACTTCTGAACAGCCATACAATACGCTGCAGGAGTGTGTGGTACCTTACGGGCTCCTGTTGTACTACAACACTCCATCTATGATGTCTGTTTTTGTTTTACTGCCGTCAGTAGAAACTCAATGGGGAAACAATGCCAACGGTTCTTTGGACACTGAGCACCAAAGACTCCCCTTTTGCTTTTGTTTTGTTTTTGTTTTTGTTCTGTTTTTTTGTAAGTGAATCATTTAGAGTAGTTATATCCCATTGTTCCCAGCATATCTGTTTGTGAGGCTTTAACACTCTTTTTGTAATCATGCAACAGCCAGAATACCTTAAGAAGAGCAACCTGGCTTTGGGAGAAATTCTCATTTCTGCTGAAACTATTATTATCCCCACCAACCCGACTGCTGTTCGCTGTGCACTGTTGACGAGCCACGAGTGCCTACACTTGAAAGTGACATTGTGCTGATTACTTTACGTATCTACGCTCAGCTGTAAACATTAGAACCATCCTCCTACCCCGCTCTTGAGATTGGCACCTGCTGCTGTACCTTCATTTTTTTTTCTCCCTCTACCAGTACATTTAAGGAAAGTCTTTAAGTCTGAGAAACTACCCCAGTAGCAGAAAAACAATACTTAAAGGAATGGTTTGAGATTTTGGAAATGAGTTTTGGTTTGGTTTAAAGGTTATTGGCGTCTAATATCTTGGTTAGCCAAAACATAGCAGTGGCTTAAGTGAACTCTTGTTCATTTTTACACTCATTTCTGTTGGGTAGATGCAACTTTTTCACCTCCTGATGCAATATCGATATTGAGGCTTTAGATATTAGCCAATACGATATTTACCCAGTACAATATTGTCATGACTCGTATGTACTTTTAATATTTATTTTGTAGAGTGAAATATTAGAAGAGGCTTGATCAAGTGATGTTACTTGGGGGTGGGGAGAAAGTAAAAAACCCAATCTGTATAAGAACAATTATTATTAACCAATGGGTCTGAGTGAGGGATACAAGTGGTGCTGGATAGAAATGCTGGGCTGGACTGCAGTGCTGGAGCAGAGGTTTTATATCAGAGATTTTAGATGCAGCCTGATATAATCTGATCCTGATATGGAACCGATATTGATATCGGATCGAGACACCCCTTCGCTGTTGGGACCAATAGCTGCAGTGTTTCTTAGACTGGAGGAGTTTTAAGATGTTAATTTGCTTCTGTTTAATTTACAGTAAGTGAAGATGAACAAGAGTTAGACTGCTACCACAACTAAACTTCAAAAATTCCAAACTATTCCTTTAAAACATGCCAAAAAGACAAGAGACAGCTTCCCAGGCTAAGTGCCAAGCAGTGCTAGTACTTGTCTTCCATTGTCTGAAGTGAAGCCACATTTATTTGCATTTTTTGTTTTTGTTTATTTAACTTATATTGATAAAATAACAGGCCTTTAAAGTGCTTTTTGTCAGAGAATTTGAATTTGGTAAAAATTAAGAAATTTGAGTACACCAGGATTAAAAAACATATTTTTTTTTTCCTGCATGGAATGTTTTTGTTTTGATGACTCCTTTTAAATATTTGCTGCTTTTTTCTTTGAACAGATTCTTTGCATCAGTGGGTGGTTTTAAATGTGCTTGGTGATAATTTCAGTGTAATGTAGTTATTTACTTTTAATGAATGTTTAAGTGGAATTTAATGCTATTTTTGAGTTCAATAAATCAGAATTTTTTTCTATCAGTTTTTCCCTCAGTGTTTTTTGAACAATTCTGGATGACTTGTGACTTAATGATGACTTTTTTTTAGTGAGAGGAGCTCCAGTCCAACACTTCCCAACCTGTGCAGCAGATCAGGCTCCTCTGCAGCAAAATAAGCTTCATTAATGAGACTCGAACGACTTTTTACAAAGACTCCCCACTAACTGTGTGCCGTTTAGAAACGCAGGCTTAAGAGTTTTAGGAGCCATTAGGCAGCAGGAAACATCAAAACAAAAAGAACATACTGTAATCTTGTTTTCCGTCATCTGTTTTCTGTAAAAGGTGGCGGTTTCTAAAAAGGAAACGGGAGCCCCCTAGTGGTCTGTTTTAAAAAAAACAGCCTCGCACTTTGAAATGGGACTGTAGCTTGAATTTTTGTCTGAACGGTCGTCACCTCCGTTCAAAATATTTCACCTTCATGCACAAAGGGGACCTTTTAAGCAACACTTCATTTAAAAAAAACAAGCCACTTTTCAATAAAGCTGAATAACGTATAGAATATAAACTTCTGTTCTTTTTATAGCAACTTTGAATAATCCCATGTTTCAAGCTTTAGAAGTAAATGGCTTAAAAAGAAAAGAAATTCAAGACTTTTCTTTGCATACAAACAAAAAAGCAAAACAATGAAAATGTTTACAAATGTGTATAAACTAAAAATTAACTATGAAAACACAGATAAGAAAATAATCTAAATGTACAACAAATGATATATTTTGATATTAGTGATTTAATCTGTTGCTACCTTTAGGAAATGAATATAAGTCTGTGTAATATTGTATTAGAAGGCTCTAAGAAAATGTATTTACATCAGTAGAAATAAATTTTCTTAGTATTTGGTAGGATTGCGTTTTAAAATGAATGACTTGGACCAAATATGGTTCAGGACAATGGTAGACTTTTAGGTCACCTTGCTCACACACCTTTTTATCTCTGCCCAGTTTTTATCTAGGACTGAAATCAGAGCTTAGCTTTGTTGTTTTTAAGCCACTTTTGATAGTATGCTTATGAACAGGTCACCTCCATGCATCTAGAAAATGTACCACAGGATCAACCAGAATTTGTAGAGGTCCAAGTTTCTCTTCCTGATCTGTTGGCTTATTTTATCAGTTTTTTTCAGGATGTATACGTCTTAAAATACAAATACATTTATTTTTTTCTATATTCAAATATGAAAAAATAAATTTTTTTTAGGAGAAGCAAAGCCACTTTGTTCTAAATTGTTCTATTTTGTACAGAATAAAAAGATATGCGAAACTGACCATTTCTCTGGGAGGAACGCCCAGTCAGAAACAACCAATCAGAGCCAGGAGGAATGTATTTGTGCTGTCAATCATGCTCCTGTACACACTGCTCAGTGTGTTAATCGGTATTATTAGTGGTCATGTCAGCTAGTGTTAGCATTCACAACAGGCTCTGCTGTAGCAAACTATAGCTGTAGAAGGGGGGAGGGTGTGAGCAGCATTCAGAGGCATTATTGGCAGTGCTAAGACCCTCCTCCTGACTCTGATTGGTTATGTCTGATCTAGGAGGGTATTTCTGCAGATGACAGGAGGGCCACAAGGCGGAGGCAAAGGAGCACGATTTTTTTTCACAGATTATCTGTCCCGTACTGTCATCAGATAGTGACAGTTTTAACAAATATGTTTAATAAAATAAAATAAAATAAAATAAAAAAACAGAAAAAATAAAAGTCACATAATGAAGTTTTAACTTGATGCACATACATTCTATTCTATTCTCTCTAAAACGGAAATATTTCTAGATTATGTGGAGAATGTTAAGATATAGTCAATATGTCCAAATATGCTTCCACCCTTTATTCCCTAACATAAACACTGCGGCTGCAGTAGAATTTAAATGTTTGCTATACCTCTTCAGTCTTTTCTTCATGTGTTCAGATTCCTTTTTTTTTTCTTTTCTAAAAAGACAGTTTGTTTTGTTGAACGCACCCCTAACCCCACGTGTTACGTTTCCATAGTCCCGTCACATCGGCTGGCCTCCACCATGTTGGAGGAAATCCGCCCCTGGGCTGCTCCTCACTCCCTGTCAGATTAGAATTTAATCCGAAGAGGAGGAGGAGGACGCGCTATCAAGACGCTGCCTGCATCTTGGGGGGAGTCGTGCCGCGCCAGTTTTTTTTTTTTTTTTATGTGTGTGTGTGTGCACACACTAAATAAAGGCGTCTCTAGGTCCTGCTGTCACTTTGCTTTTTTTTATTTTTTCCCTGCAAATCACGACGGGCGGGTACAAAATGAGCCGCCGGTCCTTCGTTTTCTTTCTGCTTGTCCGCTGACTTGCCAAGGCGTTAAGATGTTAGCTGGCTAACTAGCTGGAAAAGAGTAACTAAATCGGATTAACTGCTTCCTCTGGGGAACATATTCGTTGCTCGAGCTTGTCAATTACTGCAGCTCCAATGTTCCTCGTGCGTATTAATTGTTGTTTTTAGTTCATTCCATCTCCAGAATTGTGTAAAGAGCCACTACTTTAAGCTTTAATTATTCACTGGCGTTAATATTGTAAGCTAGTCTGGTTATTGGTAAATTACAGCAGCAGACGAAGGGAGCTGGAGGTGGGAAGCGCGTGAGGAACCGCTAACATTAAAGTGGCACCGCTAACCCAGCCGAAAGTCTGGACGGGCGGACTTATGCGCTAGCCTCTCCGCTGGATAGCTGGATCCAGAACTGAAGCTCTCTCCCCGCTGAAGGCAGACCCCAGCCGAAGCAGAGATGTCAGGGAAGGATAAAGACAAAGACAAGGAGCAACAGTCCACCACAGAACGGCTTATCAAAGGTGAGTCACTGTTGCATGGAGAGAGAAACCACCTGTAGCTTTTGGCCAAACTTTACACTCTTTGTTTGAATGAGAATGAAAGAGATTTTTGTTCTTGTTTGGGGAAAAAAAGTGTATCCTACTTCCTGTTGCTTGGACACACTTTTTTTTTCTTTCTGTGGCATATTAAATACACCCAGAACGATGGTTCACTGAGGCATTGATTTGATTAATTGTATAAATAATAAGTTAAGGCTCAGAGGTCTGCATCTATCAGTCGGTGAAGTAGGGACAGGCTGTTGTTAGAATATATTTGGCACGATTCTAAAATTAATTTCACATTAGAGCATCAAAACAACTTTCAAGTGGTCGTGGATGTAGATTTAAGACGGTTACATTCTGAGGAAATTTATGTCCTTTAAGTTTCATTTCAACTTCTTAGAAATTGTGACCTACAACACAAAAAAAGTCGCTTAAAATAAAAAAAAATATATTTTATATGCAGTTTGAAATGGAATGTTTAACATTCTTTGATATATGTTTTTGCCTGACAGTGACTAGAGTAAATGGTAAATTATTTCTATTACCTTTTTATTCAAAGAGTTGCATTTGTATCTGAATATGTTTTCATGATTAAAACAGGGACAGAAACATTCTGCCATGAAACAAAAATACTTAATTACTTTTGTCCTCTAAAATTAATCGGAAAATTTTGAAATGAGGATATGAATCACTTAAAATTCTTAAGGGAATCCAGACCCATTTAAGCATGTGTGTCAAATGAAGGGATAAATTATTAACCGACTATTTGGTCGATTAAAAACAAATCTCACCTTCAGGAAAACCAAACATGAATTTGTCGTATTCAAACGTTAGCAATATTACGATGTTCCTGTTTTAGCGGGAGTGAAAAAAATTGGCAACACATTCTGTGTATGTTTGTTTCGTATTACTGTCTGGAATCCTGGAAACAAAATTGTGTGATTGTAAATGACATATCGCTGCACAAATAGCAGCTGCAAACTCACTTACTCACCAGGGGCCCCACTAAAACTCTTGTGGCAGAAAACCCCCAAACCAAGGGCCAGAAGAGAATCTGATGAGTTTTCTTATGCTGTTGTGATATTTAGAGAGGGATGAGAGGAGGGGGCTGAGCAGAACCAGCAATGAGTCAAAGATAAATGTGCATTCCTCGCATAGATTCATATTCGTGACAAATATTATACATATATCCTGCTTGGATGACCAGTAAATTTATGCTGCTGGCTGTTGTTTCTTTGGGTTTGCCAGTGATAATAAGCAGGGCCAAATTTACAAGGATGTGGGCCCCTGGGCTAGTGAAAATGTCTCAAACCTTCTTAAAAACATTACTTAGTTCTTTATGACTTTTTTTTTGCCAAAGTTATTAAGAGGACTAGCCACTTGCTAGTCCTTAGCAGGATCATACTACCACACATTAGGGCCATAGATAGAAGAGGAAACGTACAGTAAAGTTTCACTAAAAAAACAGAGACATTTTTGGATTAATCTCAGAAATTTTCTAGAAAAAAACTCAGAAACTTCTGAGTTTGAAAAGTTGCAAGAAGACAACTCAGAATTTTTTAGATTAATCTCAGAAAAAATAGCTAAGCTTTAATGAGTTTGAATATTTTGGGCTAAGAATGTTTTTGTTGTTGCAAATTTATTACTTTTAAACTTGGAAATTTTTCTCAAATTAGTTTGTGCAAAAAATTCGGAGTTTTTGTCTAGCAATTTTTTTGACTTTTCAAACTCATAAATTTTCATGTTTTTCTTTTTCTTTTTTTTTTCTTTTTGTTGAGAAATTTACTTCTTTTGGTTTTTTTTCTATCTGCAATGGCCCCAATACGCCGTCATATGACCACACCCCTCCCCTTGTTAAACTTTTTCTCTCTAAACACGCACTCGCACTCGCACTCCAGTCCAGCAAACAAACCAACTACTGAACAATCTTTGCTATATTATCACAGTTAGGAAAAAAATCTGGTTCATTCCCACTGAGCTTGTGGTTGCGCTATAGACAGACATGCCATCATTTGTTGTTTTTGGGTCAGGCAAGTAAGGGGCAACTAATGAGAGAGAGAGAGAGAGAGAGAGAGAGAACATAACCCAGCCCCTGCAGACGCTGCCTCCTTCACCAGTACGACTACTTAATGCCATCGCAGCCCACATCCCGGTCTGTCTGCAAGGGCACCGGGAGAATGTCCTGCCAGAGGACTGGAATGCTGTAGCATGAGCCAGTGAGGAGAGAGTGAGTTAATTGTGGAAAGAATCTCCCGAGCAATGTTCCCAACATGGCCAGCCATAGTGTGGAGAGGGGAGAGGGGAAGAGAATAGATAGCACTGTAAGCTGTTAGGAAACCCCAGGTCATGCAGTTCTGCTTTCGATTTTTGCACACCATAACTGTCCTAATGTGAATTTAAAATAAGTTTATTTCCATCTGAAATAATAATAATAAAAATGATGATGATGATGATAATAATAAGTGAAATGCAACCACTAGAGATCACAGCTTGCTATGGCAAATACACCCCAGGCTGGCTGATTTAGCTTTCAAGGCTAATACATTCACCGATAATTAGAGTAATCTGAAGTGGACTTCATGATTCATCCGGCTGCGGTACCGCTCCATTCATCTCCACCCAGCCGCATCTTTGTAATTCAAGCCCGGCCTATTGTGTCGATTTTTGAAACAATAGCCAACATATTCTAGACGCTGGCTCATATCGCTGTCAAAAACATTATCCTGGACGGGCAGCGCGCGGCGGATGGTCTTTTCTTTGTGCCTCGTGTCGTTTGTTGTCATGCCAGACCGGGGGGTGTTGACGTGGCGCGCGGCGCAGTAGCGCGCGCGTCTGCACTTCTCAGGAGTTCATCCAACATTCATGCTAATTAGGCCAGGCAGGCTTTAATAGGAAGCCATTGTCCGGGTGGTGGTAGTTGATTATTATATTGTTAGCTTATTAGTTTTTAGCTAACTATGCTTTTTCTGGGTTATGTGTTAGGGAGGAAAATTGTGGTTTAGTTCACCGTGTCTGCATATTTTTTCTTTTTTCCCCCCATAAAAAACAATTCATACCCCTTGAATTTAACTTCAGACAGTGACAACCTAGCACAAAGTGACCAGATTTGTAGCAATATGGATACGTAGACCCTTTTTTTTTACTGACAAAAAGTAAAATGTGTGGCTTACTTTTGTTTTGAGTCAACACTTTGTGTGCTGTAATTACAATTGCTTTGTGAAATAGCTCAACCAGATTTGCACAATGTAAGACATTTTTGGCAAAATAGCTCAAGCGCAGTCAGACATGATGAAGAGTGTCTTTTAAAGTATTGTTAGGCCTGTCACCATAACTAATTTTGCTTGATGATAATGGTTCCAGAAATTATTGCAATAAACAATAAAATTTTTGTTTTGAAACTACATTTATTGAAGTCATATATTATTAATGACATAACTATGCAAGTTTGCCTTCTCAAAGACCAATAAACTTTAATTTTGTAAAGAAAAAAAAAAAGGAAAATACTGGAACTGGAAGATATTTTAAACATCCAACAAAACACATGATAACCGAAAACAATAAATAAAACGGAAACAAAACCGCACGCATCCGAAACAATAAATACAACTGATTATGAAGTCTCTGGAAACAAACCTTAAAAAATATTAATAATCAGAATGCAAGCTATGCGCTGCTATAAATTTTCATTTGAATTTAGGTCTTGACTCTGACAGCCTGTCTTACACGTATATTGTGAAACACAGGTGAACTCTGTTCACTAGTTATGGTAACTTCTTAAGGCAGTTAGTTGGTTTCACAGGATGTTATTCGGGGGGTCGGTGAGGTGATGTGGACTTAGAATGATATTGTGATATTTTGTGGTGTTATGTGGTGTGATATAAAAATGATGATAAAAAAAACCTATTACTTATTTTTATGATTGTGACTGGATGGCACAGCATTCATAGTGCCACAGACACAAATATTGTTCTTGGAAAAACATTTAAATTTTCCACAGTTTTCTTCAGGACACCACTCCCTTATAACAGTATGATTTATGTCACTAAAATGCACTTAACTGAATGTAATCATATTTTCACATTTTCTGATATTTATCAATGCTCTTGTACTGTCGTCTTTTTTTGTTTTGTTTTTTACCTTAAATAACTGAAATTTACCGTGACAACAATAAATCAAAATTCTTATTACAACTAGAAATTTTTCAAGATAAATGATAAACCATATGTTACATTGTTTATTATATCGTGAAATGAGATTTTTTTTTTCTCATTTCTCATTTTCTCATTTCCCTTCACTACTTTGATGTGAACTATCACATGCATAAAGGTTTATTTGGCCATCATGTAAACTATTTTGAATAATTTTGCAGGTATGTCTTCAAGTCTTGATCCTGCATGCAAATAAACCCAGAATTTATGAATATTGTTATTATTATTGGATGCCCTGTAATGGACTGGCGTCCAATCCAGGGTGACCCCGTCTCACCCGTCGACCGCTGCAGATGGGCGCCAGCTCCCCTGGCGACCCCACTGAGGATAAGCGTGTTAGAAAATGGGTGGATGGATGTTACTATTGGACAGCAGGGCAGCCACGTCTGCTTATTTGGACTAAGTTTTTAGTTCTTCGCTGTTGAGACCCATTATTACAGTCCAGCGAGCGTAATGACTTCCAGCGACCGCTTGTGACTTTTTGTTGAAAACATCTGCCTGAGTTTTTTTATTTATTTATTTATTTTTTTTTTTTACGGTCCTGATGCGTTCCCTCATTCTTTCTTCATGTCCTTCCAGGTCCTGCTTTGTGTGCGCTCAGGTTTCCCCTTATGTGTGGCGAGGCTTTTAAGTAAACAGCCCTTGGATCTGGAAGCCCTCGCTAATAGAGGCTTTACCTAATCTGTTCTTAAGACTTGTACCTCAGCTTACAGCTCTCTTCATGGCCGTGCCTTGTAGGTCTGGGAGCACTTACTGTTTATTTATACCTCA